TGTAATAAATTTTTTAGCGACCTAGTTCGTTTTTAGTTTTAACAAATTTGCTGAACGCTATTCAAAAACTTATTAAACACGAAAGACTGAATTCCGATCGTGAGAAATTAAAATAAAATAATTTTAGCTTACCTACAGCCCCGTATCTACTTATTGCTGAACCATTTTAATAATTTTTTATGGTTTTAATAAATCACGAATATTTTAATGTGTGCCTATTTTTTTATAAAATCGTTTCTTTGGAATTATATTAATTAAAATGAACGATAAATCATTATATGTATTTATATCTTTGATATTTTTGGAAAATAATGGATGTATATTAGGATATGTTCCGTAGAAAGGGAAAACGATTACCTTCCTACTTTACCTAATTGTGACGCCTTAAACTCGGAAACACGCGGGCGCCCGTTTTGATAATGTGGTTTGCTCCATAACCTTTCAACACTATGTCAAAAGAACATGAGTAACACCAGCTGAAGATACGGAATATTTTAGGGCTGTAAAAAAAATACGAGTGCTATGAAGGAGTAAAAGAGGTTTGATTGGTGGGGGCTGGTACATAATTGATGTAGACCTGCACAACTGCCAAAAAATGCAAGTATCTCATCTACATTTCACAGAAATTATTTTAGACATTCTAAAACAGATCTTTTGAATAATTTCATTAATTTTAATTATTAAATAGTAAATATAGTGTACCGCTTCTTTAGCCGCCAACCGGTCAACGTCTTGATAGGCATATATGCATGTGTTTGTGAACAACCAAACTTTTTTGTCGACAGCATAAGATTAATAATAATCAGAAGGATATCTCTCATTTAATTCCTTTGTAGTTGATGCCGACGAGCTATGACCTCGTCTTTTAGTTATTACTTGTATTCCATAGGCGCACCGAAAAAAAGGTCAGGAAAAAATATTGGGTAGCTATTGATTTATTTTTTAAGTTCATACATTATAAATATAGGTAAGTAAAAGATTTATATATATAAAAAAATATTTACTTATCTTTCCATAACTCATACTGTCATTAAAGCACAATAAAATCAGAAAATAGTCAACGATAAAAATATTTAAGCAAAATAACAAAAACAACAGAATAATAATAATTATTATAAATTTACGTTTTCGATAGCACCGCCCGTGCCGGTCGCTACAGCACTGAAAGTTTCGGTGTAGAATATCGGTGTAGGTGTACTTGAAGGTCACGAGCCCTCGAAGATCACGTGATCGGAGATATCCTTCTGGTTATTATTTTGTCTTGTGTCGACAGTTTTTTGATAAAAAATAAAAAGACGTGTGTTGAAAAATTTTAAAACAGATTTTTAAAGTAGAAAACAACTGAATACAACCAAGTTAACAATATCAATATAAATTGACAATATTGTTTTGTTTCGGCCGTGAAACCCTGCCCAAAATTTATCTACCATCAGTATGGCCTATAGAAGTTGCACATGCTAATGCACAGGAAACATGGCCGATACGAGGGTTGCCACCTATCCTTTTTTGAAAAGGACAGTACTGTTTTTAAACAAATTGTCCTTATGACTTTTTAAAGCTTAAAATGTCTTTTTTTACGGCACATGTCCTTTAAAAGGACCTGGTTTTTATAAAAATATAAACCGATCACTTTTTTTTTAGAAGCTCGGCCAGAAAAACCAGAGGTTGAGGACCTCTTTTCATTTTTAGAAGCTCGGCAAAAACCAATTGTAGGTAGCAGGAAATCAGAATTTCAGTAATAATTATAATTTTATTTTAAAATATAAAAAACGTTATAATATTAAAAATGTTGTGTCAAAGGTACGTCTTGTATTTCGAATTCGTAATCAATATTTTTGTTTCCTTTTTCCATGGTTACCATCCATCGGATAAGTAGGGTGCTAGTGTACGCAGCTATCGACCAAGATCATAATATATTATGTGATATTATAATGATACCATCTGACATTGACACTTGACCAACCTCAAATAAAAACTGACTAAGAAACCTTAAAATAAATTGACGTAAAAGTCAAAACTAAAGGTAAGACTATGTGGTGCTATGATGTCGCCACATAACCTCCCCGCTCAAAAAAAGAAAAAGAAACCACCCATATAAAAATAATGGTTTAGTTATAACTTATTGGGTTTAAAACAAAAGAAACCTTTTGTCACCGTTATTTGTCAAAAAGGTAGCAACCCTAGCCGATACAGCCAAATGCCGTTTTTTTTAAATCGCTAGTTATTCTGCTCCACCCTGTACATATGATCAAAAAACCTTAGTTAATTGTCAATCAGAACTCCCAAGTTAATTCTCACTAGATACTCCATTTTCTAATACTGCTGATACAAAACAAGAACAACAATTTGAAATGTATGAATGCATGTAATGAAAATATTCATTCATTAGCTTTGATAGTGATTAATTTATCATTCCCGTCTTTATCAACCTCCTAATTAAATCAACGAAATTTGAAGGTTAAGCGGAAATAATAAACATTGATGCACACAAAATGTTAATGACAAAATTATATAATGGAGCTACTACATTTATCCTGCATGTTTATCTATATATTTACAAGGTGATTCAAATTAAATGTTTTAAAATTATAATAAAAAAATAGGACGCAAAGTAGAGTTAACAAATCCCTATATTTTTTAAACGTTTGCTCTTTTTTATAATTTCGTATTTAAGGAAAATATTACAAATTTTTCCATACTGTTTTAACTTCTGTGCATAATTGTTTGATTGGTTAAAATTAAAAAAAAGTAAGACATTCAAATAATAAAAAAGTGTACGAGGAGAAGAAAACTAAATATTTTCTAGGTTAAATATATTAAAGATTAAACATGAACAATTTTAAATATTGGAGAAGTTATTTTTAAAATTTCTTTTATGTAAAGTGATAGGAAACTAGTGGAAAACAAAAATGCAGTTGTTCGTATGGTTTATATAGTCACGAGCAAAACGAAGTAAAAAAATGTTTAGGGTCATTCAAGAATTGCAAAACGTCAATAATTGAATAAGCAATATACAAAAACAAATGAATATACAGCAATGTACCAACTATACGGGGGAACACAATAATTGCAGAGTACCTCAAACAGTAAAGCAGTCTGGAAATCCTGCATAGTTTAATGTTAATATGTTGTAAATAAAGAAGTTCATAGTTAAAGTGAAGAGAAGCAAGTAGGTACCAAGCAGGTACCAATCAAATTAAACGAAAATCCGAGAGGTCAGCTGTCAAACTGGCCTTGATAGACGGTTTAAATTTTTGAGCAATAAAGAAAAGATACCTACGGGCAGAATAAAAATATTTCAAATAGTATATGGATTGGCAGACAGATTCTGCATACAATTTTAACGTTACACGTAAAGTAAGATAAAACTATGCTTTTAGGTCATTTTAATTTTTTATTTAGGGTGCTTTTTGTGCTGAAATGCTGTGTTGTAAAACAGTTATTGAGCGGTTATTATTTTTCAAAAATTTAATCCGCTAAAAAAACCGCTAAGCCGCTAAATAAAGTTTTTACCCACACTGCAATTTTGCACTAAATCTCTGGTTAGTTTAAAATGAAACACTATTGAGTTACTAAAAATGTCTCTGTGTGTACTACTCGACGTCTTGACAAATAAATAGCTAATAGCACACGAACTACAGAAAAAAGGATTTAATTAAAATAAGAAGCAAAAACTGTGCAAACAACAGTGCCGAATATACCTATAAAAAGTACTTCCTAGAAAATGTAAACAAAATCTGAAAACTATAAAGAAATCTACAACAAATTGCCTGTATTAGGGAAAAAGATATTTAATATTTTATCATTTTTTCTTGGTCTATTTGAAAACATCGTATATGATGAAATAGAATTATTTTCATACAATCGATTTTTCAATTTGTGGCTACCTACCATTTCGTGTTTCAACTACTTGTTATTGCGTTCTCCAATATTTTATGCTAATACAGGATGTCGCACTAAAATGTAAGCTAACACATATAATTATTTTAAAAGAAAGTTTGAGTCCAGTGGCGGTCATATATACATTCGCAAAGGGAGTTTGCTGGCTATAGATTATATTAGGTAAAATTTTTTTTGGAAGAAGTTAAGTAAAAGTTCTGCAATTTTGACGAAATATTACACTTCTTTACAAAAATATGGTTGTTAATTTCAATTTGACGAACTTAAAATATCTGTCCGTTTAATAATTAAATATTAATTAAAGTGTACGTCAACCTCTTTGATCATATAGATATTTAATCCTAACAAACTTTTCTTATTATAGAACATTATTATAATAGATTTCTACTAGTGTGGTTTATTTTTTTAAAAATAGATTTCTTATTATAAAACAATATAATAGGTTTCTACTATGAACAATAAAAAAAAAAGATGAAGTGAGTAACTATTGAAGATGTCACTTATTTGACTTTCTAGATTGTATTTTTGATGTTTTTCTTCAGATGAAAAGGGTCTCTCTTCCTTTTAAACAAAACCGAAAAACAAAAATTGGCAGAATTTTTTTTATTATTTTGATACTAATTTTTATTTGGACATCAACACGTAGGAGCGAAGTAAATTTCGGAAGGTTTCGATAGCTTTTGATAGATTTTGATAAATTTTAATAAATTTCGATAGATTTCGTAAGATTTCGATAGGTTTCAATAGGTTTCGATAAATTTTTATAGATTTTATTAAATTTTGATGAATTTTGATAGATTTTTTGATAGATTTTGATATATTTTCATAGATTTTCATAGATTTTCATAGATTTTCATAGATTTTCATAGATTTTCATAGATTTTCATATATTTTGATAGATTTGGTAGATTTTAATATAGTTTTATAAATTAAGATAGATTTTGATGGCTTTTTATGAATTTTTATAAAAATTTTATGGATTTTTATAGTTTTTTATAAATTTTATAGTTTTTATACTTTTATGGATTTTTATAGATGTTTATAATTAATTACTAATTTAATTAATAATTAATTAATATTAAAGTTTCTTTTTGTTCTAGGAGAAAGAGAGTTAAAGCAAACAGAAACATTAGCCAAAATTCAAAAAGATCTCTCTATAGACCTAGCGACAGATCTGAAGCAATCCGAAAATCATCAAGAACAATGGTCGAAATTAATTCATAAATACTTCGAAAAACACGAAAAAGTTTTCCTGGAAGCAGTAGGGGCAGGATTCGGCGAAGGAGGGGGAGGTAACATCTGGACGTATCCAGGATGTATCCTGTTTTCTGTATCGCTATTAACGACACTAGGTAAGACAGCAACATATGAAAATTAAAATATGCATTCCTTCACGTTGAGATACAGCTTGGCATTTAGAGTAAAACATAATTTTTTGAATTAATACATTAAATCTGTAGAAATTTATAGCAGTGGTAATTAAATCTAAGTTAAAGGATGTGAATATGTAAATTGAAGCAAAAAAAAAATTAGTTTCGTTCTTAGTAGGTTTAAGTTGTTAAGGTTGGCTGAACTGCGCCGACTGTCGACAATGACAAGTGAGGCACGTCAAGCGTCACTGGCCACTGGTGGCAACGAGAGACGAGCCACATTACACATTTGTATCTGGGGCCCAATTCCTGACGCCTTTGTTAACTTATCGCATGCGATAACGTATGCGACTTGATGAAAGTGTATTCCTGAACTGACGGCATTCGTCAAATTTATTAACGCATACGCTAAAAAATGGTGATTTTCAAAGATCGCTCATGACCGTTCGACAACCACTTTGTCGCATTCGTTAAGGTGAAAGTAAGGTTATAATCAGAGGGTTGTCTCCACATACTTTGATAATTTATTCTGTGCTTTGATTTTCTTTTGTATGTGGTTGTCTCTGTTATAATTGTCAATTAATCCTGCTTTATCATAGGAGTTTTACAGGCACTAAACAATGTTATAAATTCTACTAAAGTTTCACGCTGTTTTTTCCGTTATTCGTGAACCACGCTGTTCCATTTTTAATATTATAAATCTAAACCACTCCAATTCTCAAGTCCAAAATACAAATAATCACAGTTAAAACATCCAAAATCCAAAAATTATTAGACATCTGCAATCCATTTAATTTTATAATTTTTGCATTTTTGGCAATTTTGACATATGTCAATGCAATTATCTCATATTCAGTGATACCATCTTTGGTATTCTTAATCCTCATTGGTTAAGACTATGCAATAATCAAAGACTCTTCGTTAACACGTTCGACTTGATTCGCGATTATCGCATGGTGTTCAGGAATACTAAATTGCTGTCGTATGCGTTAACGACCATGCGTTACTTAGCGCATGCGGCAGTTAACGCATGTTTCGAGAATTGGGCCCCTGGAGTCTTACAATAAAACTAGTTGCAGTTGAAGTGTTTTATTTATATTCAAAAAAGCAAATACAATACATAATTATATAAAATTGTTTACTTACGTAGCAATAAGTCATCTTTGATCAAAGACTGACGTGGCATCAACATATTAAAAACATCGCTTACAAAAGTTTGTAAGCTGTAGAAAAAACTAGGCCTAAACCAAAAAATGACCATGAAAAGACCTATGGCGCGATACTGTCTATGACCAAAACTGCACAATCAAGTGTAATAGGCCAACTTACTGTCATTCAGTCTGAACTACATAAATAAACATACTATTAAACCTAACGCTACTGTACATCTTCAAACTAGACTAAAACAGGTCTTAATTGCAGGCAAATGTAGCCAATCACTTAGCGTGGACCATAAAAGGATATAGGATATCAAGTCAGGAATGCTTATTATTGAGTCATAACCACTTACACATTTGATATAAATTTCAAATCTAAATGCCAAGCCAAGAATCTTAAGAAGAAGGTAAACTTGTATGCTATACAGACAATTTAAATGCTGATCCGGTGCTGAAATCTTTGGACCTAAGACAATATTCTCAGGTCTAACCAATAATAATACAGCACTGGGCCAAGGCAATTCTCTTACCATAAAGCAAAACTAGTGAAAGACTACCTAGAAGAGTTGACAGAGATACGTAGCCAAAATAAGTGACCTTCCTGGATACCAGGCTAATGAATAAGACGACGTACTAGCTCGAGAAAGCTCAGATAGAGCCATGCTAGACTCCGAACTCTTTTGTGGAGTTGCTAAAGCATTATGCAAGGCATTCTCCAAAACAGTGGATACGAAAAGAGTCACAAGAATAGTGGAACAGCTATCCAGGACTGAGACAGGTCAAAGAGTTCATCAAGGGAATCACAAATGGTTAAGATAATAGTTCTTCTTCAGAAATCCTGAAAAGACTAATTTTTAGACGTCCAGACATTCAAAAATGTATATCGAATATAAGTCTAATTGACATATTTGTGCTGTCTAGGTATTTTTAGATTGTAGATAATAATTAAACTGGAAATTAAGATTGTCTTGCATCCCGTGTCTCACTGTGAAATACAATTTTAAACTATAATATCTATTTCATCCATATTTTTTTTTAATCAGGTTTTGGTGCTCCTGTTCCAAGAACTACTCTAGGACGCGGTGCAGCGGTACTATTTGCTGCAATTGGTATACCCTTACACTTCCTTCTAATATTAAATATGGGTAATTTGGGAGCGATCAGACTTCAGCAACTGGCGTATAAAAATTTCCTAAAAGAAGTGCCGTCAACACCTAAACCTTTCTGGTTGAAATACTTTCCGTTTTTGTGTGTTGCGTTCTATTATTTGCTTGGTAAGTAGTATAAATAATAAAATATATTAGTTTTATGTACTGGAAGGAAAAGTTTGGATTTAAAACGTATGATTGGTTCGGAAAAAATCTTATTATATAGATATTCGGGCAAGAGTTAGTAATATCTTTTGAAAACCTAGACATGCATGTAGTGACCATCTTTCCGCCATGGTGAGCCATCCTAGTTATTTTAAGTGAGAAGTGTTAAAATATCCGTATCTATTATAGTTGGCATCCCTGTCTAAATTAGTTACGTTTGTTTTATAAAGATGACTACCTTATTGTCGTCTGTCAATGTAATGTAAGTACTTTTGAATTAGGTAAGAAACCAAATGTAATAAATATGAACGTTTTGGGATGTATAACACATGCTAGAGTACCTGATTCACTTAGAACAAAACTTGATGATAAGGGAATAAAATGTAGATTTACAGGTTATGCTGAGAATGGCTTTAGGTTATGGGCTCAGCACGCTTCCTAACATGATCATGTCTACGTAGTACGTACATGAAGCGTATACAAGAATTTTGGATTACGATAATTTTAAATCTGATCCTGTCACAAACCACTAAGCAAGGTCCATAAATTACATTGCATGTGATAAAAACCAGTAAGTTCCACAATATTGGGTTTGTCTTCTTGTTTAAAACAATTTTGTTGGAATATAATAATTTTAAACTGGAGTTAACACTTTTTTACAATTACTGAGATGTGAGAATTAAACCTAAGTGAATTGTCCACATGCAGAGCCAAATTTTTGCACATAAATAAAGGAACATGCAACGATTTATGAAACAGGACGCCCAAACAGTTGGACAAAAGATCTGTAACATGTGGAGGGTGGGTTCCTCACTTTAGGACTCTATAGGCCCATTGTGCATTCTCCTAAGATTAGAGGCAATTCCTAGCTCGTGAGCCAGTATATATCATGAGCCTTGTTTTGTTTTAGAACCATCGGCTCTTCTCTTTGTTCTGTTATAACTTTATATGGCTCTCGGTGAGATGGAGTCCATGAACGTTTGAAGCAGTGGGGTGGAAGCGTATCGAACGCTTTCTGCCCAAAGCGACGTCTGACCTCACCAGATCCTACATCAGGTTTTATCCAACTGTGCGGAGGCATGTCATTGTCATCAGAGCAACCTCCTTTAAGTAAATATCAAGGGGATTGAAACTATATTAAGACTAAGAATTACTTTCATGGCTCTGGTCGGTGTGGTTTTTAAGGCTCCTGATATGTTGACAGACATGGGTTTTGCCCCTCAAGTCACCTGAGCACAACCTCCTTTTCGTCGAGGTCAGCCTTCACACATGATCCAGAGAGAGGCTTTGGTAAGTTCGTCCATCCTTACAACAGCTCCTTTCTATGTTTTTAAAATTGATACCTTTTTTTCAGCCATTCCAACGTCAGGTCATCGTCGCACGTTTCTGTAATGATTTCACCAGAGTGCGTCCAAGACCTGAAAGTGGGTGGCTTAGTTTTGCTGCAGGAGGCAGACAAAATCGTTTTGTCCACCTCTCCCATCAGTGTCCTTTTGACAGGGATCTTTCTTCCGGTAGTTATCTTACTGTAAGAATTATCCTCGTCTATTATAGCAACTTTCAGGTGGCTCGTATCTACATCCTTGTAGCTTATCCCAGACAGAACTTTGTGGTTTTATCTGGATTTTGCCCCTTCCGGGTCGTTACCTCGGTAGAGGTGTCAGATCGCGGCCTTTTCTTGTCCCTAGTTGCGTCGTGTTCCTGGCCTCTTGTGGAGGCAGAACTAGCGTCGCTGCCTAAGGATTTGATTAAGGGTTTGAAGGGTGGCGGTTGCCGTAGCCTGCCTTCCTCCCCTTTGTTTTAGACCCAGAGATTCTCTTGCCTCTCCGGGGTCTGTTGGAGGTGAACTACGGTTTCCGTCCTCCTTTTGAACTTTATGGTCCAATCTCCTTCGCTGGAGATGCGGTTAAACAATATAGTGACCAAGGGGTCTATTGCCAATAATAATTTTCTTTTCATTTTTAGCATATTTAAATTTTAATAAAAGGCTCGTGGATTGTAACTTTTAATGTTGGGAGGGTATGGGAACGACTGACCCTTGTTAGTGATGAAAGGTCATTATTGATGTTAGCATGTTATGAATATCCTGCATGTAAAACGATTGTTTCTACATTTGCCAAAGGTGATCAAATTTCGAATTGGTGATTTTTCATGTAGCTTTACGTACAAACTATACACGTCAATCCGGCCGCCTATTATCGCTTTTAGTTTATTTAAAAGTTTATAAACAAGTTGTTTATTACTTTTAAACTTTTCCAAACTTTATTATATTATTAGCGAGGCCAAACATCTTTTCTTTTACAACTATCAACACTAATGAACTGTCTGTCATATGTCAATATTGTCAGTGGATCTGATTATACCGGTAGACGTATTCGGTTAATAGTCCGCGAGCAAATCAAATATTAGGTCTATTCTTTTTCATCGAAAATATCGTGCCATCCATACAATTTGTATAAATGGAACGATATTTTCATAAGTACTGTAGCTTCAAGGCTACACTTTCAATGCAAGAAATAGATTCCATCACGAGGACTTCTGTCAATAGTGTAGTTTTTTAGCTAAATGGGATGTTTCTGGCAGATCGGTTATTAGGGTATGCTTTACGTTTTACTCTTTAAAAGAATAGTATACTTGTGTCATCGCTTATTTAAGAGAGATGTGTAGAAAAAAAATAGGAGCGCCCCCAATATTGTGCCTTGAGGGACACCAAAATATGTGTTCAAAAGTTTGGAAGTTTTCACAATTAAGATAGTAGCTTGGCATCGGTTTCTTTAGTGTTTGAACAAAAAAGTCTAGAGCATTTTACGGCTAATAAAGTCGAATGCCTTTGAGCATTCGAAAAGGACTTAAACTGTGTGTTATAGCAGGCCCTGTGGATGTCATAAGTTACTGCTAGTAGTGCCGTAGTGCACTTATAACCATTGTGAAATCCTGATTGACAAGTAGGCAGTAAGAGAGGTGTATAGAAATATTCTAATTTGTTTTACAATAACTTTGAAGTCACAGCATAAAATAATAATATCCCAGATAGTACAGGACGTCCCATGGACGTCCTGATTTGGTCCCGGACCTAAATAGGACGTCCACTGGACTTCCGATTATCGTGAACACTAGGACATATCATCATTCATTTCAAAATTACTTTATTTACATTATGTACAAAGGGGTTTATAATAACACATCATTTATATTATAATTTTAGAAGGATTTCTTCGCAAACAGTGCTCTTGAAGCTTCTCTTCTAAGGTCTACGGTGACCTGGCCGATGGTATGACCGTATAAGCGATGCATATCATTTAAAATTTGAGTATGAGTGACCTCTCCTTACTGTAAAACAGTATTATAAGTCAATACTGACAAACTCATTAGAACAATACTGGAAAAGTTCGGATTTTTTTTTGAATTTAATTATGTCTGTTTTTCCCTGAAAAACCGTTCGTAAAAAACAGGGTCCTATTTTGGTCCCGTTTCGACAAAGCGTTTAGTTTTCGGTCCGAGTCCAGGATGTTAATGGGACTTTCTATGTACTAGCATAGTCGGTCTTGCAATCGATAACTTGAAATTCAACGTTTTGTTTTTGCAAGAATATGAGGACAGAAAACCTAATCTATCATTTATTTTCAAATGAACAATTAACAACAGCTACAATTTTCGGCATTAAATAATTAACTTATATAAGTAAGTTATTAGATTAACGAAGAAAAAAGGTTATATAGTATTATTTGTTATTTTTTTGATGTTGGTGGTAAAGTGGTTATAAAGAGGTGAGAATAAGTGATGTGCATTAGCGGTAGCCGCTGGCGGAAAGAAAATACATTAATGGCGGAAAGTTGGAACAAAACTAATTTTGACAAAATTATCAAACTCAGTTATGTCGACCCAAGCTATAAGTAGAAACCCAAGGATTCATCTTACCAGCGCTGTGTGTTAAATTTAATTCATTCCTGTTTTTTTTTTTGTAAACTGAAATCGTTTAACTCTAGCTAGTTTTTTCAGGATAAAAGTTGTCAAAGCTTTTTTATTGTTAACATTTTTGGCATTATTACCATTTATGGATTATGGTCAATTATCATCCCTCGGACGTCTGATTTACGTCCCTAGGACGACCCGGAAAAGTCCCTATGACGTCCTTTTGAGATGTCCTAGGGACGTCCCTAAGATGGACGGAAACGGGACATTAGGCCGTCCATTGGACGTCCGATTGACGTCTCGGTACCAAAAGAGGAAGTCCTTTATGTTCCTGAAGGACGTCTTTTAGACGTTCGAGTACTATGTGAGATGGCGGAGATCGCAGTATGATATAGGGGTATTTTAAATTTCCAAGGAGAACTTGGATTACAAAACCTGTTTTCTTTTCAGTTAAATAAATAAAAAATATGTAGAAAACAGAAGTGCGATGGGACTTTTCAAGAAAAGTAATTTACATGTCCAGAAAAGTAGTGAAAAGTAATGAAAAGTCACAGTGAAAAGTAGTCGACCCTGAGTATGATAAACACAGTTAAATCTCCAACCTGGATGTTTTTTCAAAAACACTTTGGGAATAATATTCGCATTTTTATTTAATTTTTTTTTTCACAGGCAAGTCATTTATAAAATATTTGCAACCTTCGGAGTTTATTTTAATAACGAAAATTCTATAACCATCGTTACAACATATATAAGTTAGTAATAATCATTTGTCGATTCTTTTTTTTTTAACTATATTTTGCCTTTGTTTGTAAGAAATTCAGAGAAATTAGTTAATTTAATTTCGCGCATACGTAATACACTTTTCCACTTCGAACAAGTTTGGAACTCGCTTCGTGAACAAACCTAATAGCGCCAAAATGGTCGTTTGTAAAAACTTAAAAGGCACCCCTTCTGTACTATAACTTATATTAATAAAACAATTTTGTTCCAGGAGTGATTCTTTTCGGCTTCGTACGTCAAAGAAATCCCATAGATTGCTTCATGTTCCCGTTGGACTTCACCGCAGCAGGAGGTGTAGCGAACGTCGAGGGACAAACTAGACTATTTTACGCCCTGTACTTAGAATTGGCTGTGACTCTAGCTGCCACCGTAGTGTCTCTTTTACAAACTTCGGCAAGCAGAGGAATCGTAGATATAGGACTGAGATTAGGATTGCTTACGAATACTTGAACAAATTTTTAGTCTTGCGAAAGTGTTTTTTTCTGGTTTGAGAGTACAAAATGATATCGCGCACATATCCAAGATCAAATGAAACCTCGCTTGAGCAGTTTGATGCACAATAATTTTTATATTACATTGTTCGTGTTAAAAATTTTTACAAAGTCTGCAAATGTTGTTCGATAGATAAAAAAGCCTTATGACTCCTTTATATGCAATTTTGTCACGTTCTACACAACATAGGGAATATAAAAAGTGTAGGTAATCAAAGTTGTTATCTATCATAAATGCAAGAAATTTTTAAAAATACTTTAAAACTAAGGAATCATTCGGTTTTTAATATTTATTTGTAGTTTTAAAAAGTGCTTAGGTTTAAAGTTTAGACCAGAAATTCTGTTGAAAGATGATAATAAAATTAATATTTTACAAATTCTTTTTTAATCTTCAATGTCTCCACTGGATGAGTTTACAGTAAGTAAAAATCTTTTTTTTTTTAGTTTTATAAAAAATTGTTATTTTTGAAAGTTTTTTATAAGATCCCAAAAAATTGAAACAATTTCAGTTTTAACTGGAAATTAAACGAAATAAACCTGACATAAATCATATTTAAAATCATCATTAAATTTAAGAGGTATTCGGTATTACGTACGAATGCTGTACGCCACTGGAAAAGTTAATTAAGGTAACTTATTTTTTTGCTGATAGGTGGATAATTTGACACCAAAAACGTTTGCCAAATTTAGTAAAATTGTTGTGAGTAATAAAAAAAATAAAGCCATAAATATTTTTTGGATTTTAACACCTTAACTCGGTACCGAGAAACATTTTATCTAAGCATGCTTTGTTTAGTTGTCTTATTTTTAGTCAGAGAATCGTCAGTTGTTCTATGTCCCATTCTTAACGAAACACTATGTATAGTAGGTATAAGTGGTCCCTACGTAATGATACGAAGACCGTTGTCCTTTGTTGACTGGACACAAGAATGAACTACTAAATAAATATACCGACGTGCCGAATCTAATGCAAAAGTTTTATTTTTATACCTGTTTCATCGAAAATATTTGTCAAGGTCAAGAACTCGTTTATACGCGTAGTAGCTAGGGGTGATGAATTTGTTAGGTATTTTATAAAAGTTACCGTTTAGAACTAATAAAATTATTACGCCATCTGTTGAACAAAAGAACTATTAAATATGGAATATTACTCCATCTGCTCAACAAAAGGATTCTTAATTTATGGCACATAAATGACATCTATCAAAATTAGTTCATGTTACGAATATTGGGGGTGGTACTGTGGTCTTAAATTTGAATTATGTAAACCGTGCAAGTTTCCGTCCGACTGAAAGACGTCTTTGAGCTTTCACATTAATATATGGATTTGGTAAGACGTCTTTAAGGCGTCTTAAGAACGTCTTTGAGCTCTCACATTAATATGTCTGAATTATGGCTTTTGCAAGACGTCTTAATAACGTCCTAGGACATTGAGACCTAACCAAGACACAAAATGACGTCTTTCAGACGTCGTGTGCTATCTGGGGCCTACGTTGGCACCTTAAGGTAGTTCACTCGCGACCGTCGTACACAGAAATATCGCCCTATAGTGAATAACAACCGAGATTCTTGAATCTAAAGAAAGATTATTTTTGTAACAGACTGTACACACAACACATGTGATCCTATATACAAATGTGGTATTATATCGCGTAAAATCCATCCGGCAACGTTGCAAATATATTGTGAAACGTCAATTGTATTCCTAAAGTGAAATAAATGTAAATATCAAAATGTTTCATTGTCAGGATCAATTAATTGCGAGATAAAGGAAAATTTGTTAAGCAGAACGTCCTCAACAAACGCAAAAAATCAATTTTGGCTATGAATAATGCAAAAAAATTGAGAAAGCAAACTCCAAGCTTGAGATATAACCTGTGCAGTGGTCGCATCGTGGAATTACGAGAGTTGGGAAAACATTTAAAATGTTGCTTGTGTGAAAGAGTTCTTTCTCTTGAAAATATTACAAATGAAACACGAAAGGGCCTTTATTCAATTTTAAATGTTAAATAATAATAATAATAATAATCGTCTTTATTTCCATTAATTTAAAGTAAATACAATAAAATAATACATATATACACGGGCGAAGTTTATTTTTGGTTGTGCACTAGACACAACAAAAAATATTCTTCCACTTAACCCGCGAGTAAACCTGCATATAACCATAGAGCAATGGAGCAGAAATAAACAAAAACAAAATATATATAACATATAACTATATCAAATAAATAAACAACTGTAATTTTAACATTTAACAAACAAATGAAAATGCACTTGTCTCAGGAAGGCTGAATCCATTGAAAAAAAAAAAAAAACAAGTAGGGCAAAAAAATATCAAAAACAACAACCAATGAAAGAGGGAAGTACAAATACGTAGCGATACAATAAACAACAATATGCATAATATGTATGCAGTGCGGAAAATTGTTACTTAAATTTGATTTTCAAAAATGTGTATTTTAAGGGCTGTCTTAAATTTAAAAATACTATAATTCTTGAATTCTGGTAATATTTTATTATAAAAGTAAGAGATGAGATAACTAAATGACCGTCTGAAAAGTTCCGTCGTAAAAAAGGGAACAGTCAGTAATCCTCTGTTCCTTACATTTATATTATGGACATCTGAACGGTAGCTAATTTTGCGATGTAGGTAAGAGGGCTTCTTGTTTACAAGTAGCTTATGACATAAAGTGAGAAAGTGATGCTTTCTTCTGTTCTCCATATTTAACCAACGTATTTCTTTTAATTTATGAAAATTCTTTGATGTCTTCGTATACCAAAAATCATACGTAAACAAGAATTTTGCACGCTTTGCACTTTATTTTTGTAATTAAGAGTTAAATTGGGCCCATACAATACATTTGCATAATTAAATAAGGATAGTACTAGTGTATCACAGAGCTGTTTTTTAATGTGAATAGGAAATAAATGACGATTTCCATAAATCATCTTAATATTATAGTAAGCGCGTTGCAATAACTTATTTACATGCCTCTCAAATCTTAGTTCCGAGTCCAGAAAAACACCTAAGTTTTTTGCTTCATTTACTACTTCTAATTCATTATTATTAATAACAATATTTATCGAATTTAGCAGTTGTTGCCTATAATTTTTGTTACCAAATATCATAACTTTGGACTTTGTTGTATTAATAAGCAGACAATGGTCAGTTGCACAGTCGATAAATCTTTTTAAATCATCATTTATAACATTACAAGCGTTTTCCAGTTCATGTGACTTAAAACTATAATAAAATTGAGTGTCGTCAGCGTACAAGTGGACACTGCAGTTTTGTATTTTATCCAAAAGATGAGAAGTATAGATACTAAATAATATTGGTCCCAGTATGGAGCCTTGTGGAACACCTGACCTTAATGATAGATAGTCTGAAGTAACCCCTTTAATAAATACTACTGCTAGGTCTTCCTCCACTACACCTTGTGGTGGAGGAGGCTATGGCGGCGGCATACAGGCTGTTTACTAATGGATTTGGATGGGAACTTTCGAGAAAAGGACACCACACAATGATATTAGAGAAATTAAAACAAAATCCGGTACTAAGAATGCCATCGGATAGAACGCCCATTATTCACGACTTCAGGAAACCTTTTGATATTCAAATACCAGAAAGGGCCAAAAGCCGGAAAAAAAGGGAAAAACAAAACAAATCAATCTGGTATACAGACGGTTCGAAAATGAAAAACAGCACAGGAGCTGGGATCTACCATGTGAACTCAGGGAGGACAATTAGTTTGAACCTGGGGTCACTGACAAAAGTCTTCCAGGCTGAAGTAACAGCAATAAATGCCTGCGCCAAAGTCATGCTAAATGACTCTCTTAGAGATAAGAGAATCGTTATCATGACAGACAGTCCTTAAAGCACTAAAAAGGGTAGAAGTACAATCTAAATCAATATTTGATTGCCAACAATCCCTCCAGGCTCTGGCAGAACATAACAAGGTTACCCTTGAATGGGTGCCAGGACATGAGGGAGTGTTTGGAAACGAGAAAGCAGACCTCCTAGCAAGGAAGGGAGCGGAAAAAACTCTTATTGTACCAGAACCCACATGTGCTATCTCATACCAACATGTTAAATGGGTGTTAAAGGAACAAATAAAAAGAGAACACCATAGGCTCTGGATGGAACTTCCTGGACTTAGACAGTCCAAAAGATTCATAGAGGAGCCATCCACGAGCAGACAACATCAACTGCTAAACCTTAGCAGAAGCGAACTCAAGGCCGTAATAGGACTCCTTATGGGACACTGCGGCCTTAGAAGACACCTAAATCTCTTAGGGATATCTGATGACTCCCTATGCAGAATATGTGAAGAGGAGGACGAAACTCCTATTCACATACTATGCCACTGCCGGAATCTTAAATGGGAACGGGAATGGTACTTCGGGGTACAATATCCGGAACCTGAAGAAATCGCGAAAGCGCCCATCAGACATATTCTTGAATTTATCATGAAAATCAATCTGATGGGATAGAAACTGTGAGGGGTACAATAAGCCTAGAGCGTCAGTACAAGTGGGCTTTGAACCACGCCCTAATTCAGATGATGATGATACATTACATTAGTTTTTAAATAATATGGTAAGAACCGTTTTCGAGATATCTTGAAATAAATGCAATGATTGTGTACATGGCAGGGCTTCAAGAGTGTTAATTATGCACATTTTGATTAATATCTCGTTTTACAGACGGTCAAATTTTTTTATTTTTTTTAGGTACATAAAAGACACTTTCATTAACCTCATATTTCAATTTTATTGAATTCTTAAGAAAGGCCGTTTTACGAGTGAACTACCTTAAGGTCGAAAATGTTTTATTTGTATGCAAGCGCGTGCTTGCACACAGGCGCATTCAGATTTGCAGTTAAAAATCTGTATGTTAAAGGCAATTTTAAAAATAAAAAAACGTCTTATTACGTAATCTGGATTATTGATTGGCAGGGATATTTAAAAAAAAAAGTTTGATCACGTTCAAGTATGTCACCATATCTTAAATGTCAAACAGGGACGCAGTTCACCAATGTGATTCTAACCAAGGGCTCAAATATTTAATTCTAGAGGGCACTAAGTATCTACTTTAGATTTTGCCAGATAATGCGCAGTAAATTAATCATACGAATTTTTGGTGTAAATTTTGATCTTACTGGTTTGACCTAAATTTTTAATTATTAATTAGAAATAAAAATGGCTATGTAATTATTTCAAAGCGATTTTAACTTACCATTTTAAAATTGTTTGATGTTATAAACATTCCTTCATTGTGAAGATTATTTATTATCAATCGTTGATAAATAAAGATATTTTGAAAACAAAATTCTATATTTATTAAAAAAAAATTGGATAAAATAAAAAAATTAGATACTTTGGTAACTTGTATTACATAACATTTCATAAGTAACAAAAACATTTATATCGAGAAACTGGGTTTGAACCTTCATTTACAATAAAGATTATGAAAAACTACATTAACGATGCAATTTTAATTTTTCTTTTTCACTTTGGTGATCTCATTATCGCTATCTTCACTTGGCTCTCCGGTTTGTTGACTCGTCTTATTCTTAACGTTTTTTACATGGTTTTTGGGCTTATTCTGAGTTTTGTCTACTTTCTCTACTTGCTGTAAGCCTTCTTCCCTGTCGTCAATCAAATTAGTATTAGTATTATTCACAATACCTTTCTTACCTTCTAAAATTAACCGTATCGCATCTAAAAGATCTAACTTTTCGCTCGTGGTAAATGTTTTGCTACCTATAAGTTCAAAACATAACAACGTCAATAACTTTCACTAATATATCTTTATTTTTTTTTTTTATTTAAATTTGTCGCCTAACCGAATAAAGCTTTTTTTATTTTTGTCAATAACCCAGGGTTGTCTTCAGAATGTTTCATATGGGTTTTCTCCTCAGAGCCAGCTAAGGGCATTTCTTCGTCTTTTACTCCTGTCAAAGAAAAAAAATACTAATAAACATTTTTAGAAGGCAAAATTAGCATCGGGACAAGTATGAGTGTTGTATTTTTAGAATAACAGGATTATATTTGACAAATTTTCCCGGTTGACAAAGTGATTTCAAATTTTTTCCAAAGTAATTCACATACAAAAGTAAAGGATCCTGCACTTTTCTTATGGAGAAATGCAATAGTACTCGATATTCTAAACAAAAACGTCCGCATGCTATTGATTTTTAATATACAGGGTATTGAAATTGCATATTGGCATATTTAGTGAAAAGACTGCAATATTCCCAAAGTGAGTTCCAAACTTGTTACAAACATTATTTGATAAGCATAAGTGAGCACAATGTTAAAAAAAATTGTTGCTGAGTGTTTTAATTAAATACAGGTCATTCGACTATATTTATTAAAAAAAGAAGATTTTGAGGTTATACTTTATGATCAACTCAAAATTGCACAAATATTCTATTTTTTGTTGTTATAACGGTTATATAAGATTTTACTCAAAATTATAGATAATAGACACGCACAAAACTAATGAAAACAAAGGAGAAAAAGAAGAATGATTTTAAATAAGCACGCATGCGCGAAAGTAAAAGTTCGTATTTTATTTAGGAACTATTAGAACTAATAAGAAACATGTTATGAACAAGTTCCAAACAAGTTCAATTTGTTTGGAACTTTGCTCTGCTGGAAGAGTTATTTTATACTGCGCATACTCAATATGTTAGGAACTCGCTTCGGGAACAAACCTATTAACAAATTGCACACATCCCAACTTATACGGAATCACCAATCACCTAGTATTTTACAGAAAATATTTGTCATTAAAAAAAAATTCAATTGTAAATAAAAGAATGTTGTTTCTACTGACAAAAATTGTTTACTTGGTAAAAAAAATAATAATAAAATTATTTGCCGTAGTGTTTTATTTTTATGATTACAGAAGTTATGAAAAAATAAAATAAAAGCCTTTTATGGGAACATCAATTGTGCAGAGAGGAACAATAATAATTATTGCTTTAGTAAAGCAGGGTATGTCCCAAAGTTCTCATACAGTGGGTGATTCACAAGAGGTTGTTTCAAAACCCGTTCGGAAACAATATTTTATCTGAGCATATTTCGTTTAAGGGGGGGGGAGTAAAGTTTTTAAACTTTTATTTGTATTTTTTTTATATCTGATTTTATGAATGGAGAACCTTTCAAGAATATTATGTAAATAAGATGAATTGGAGCAAAACTAACGAAGATACAGCGGTTTGAGTAACCGCGGGTCATACATGACTCAGACACCTGCCCAGCCCGAGCGTGCTATTCTGGCAGCAAGGGCGGCTCCAGGAAAAGGTATTGGGGCCATGGTTCCCGAGATGAAAATTCTTACGATTTATGAGCCTTTTATTCAAAAAATTATGCTAAAAAGAGAATGGCTAAAGACAATGGCTCCCACCGAAAATTGGTCTTGGAGCCGCCCTTGCCTGGCAGCTGTTTCACTCTCTATATAATCCCTAACCTTACCTCCTACCTTTCTTTATAGAAATTTTACCACAAGTACAAACGTTTTTATATAAGAGGAAAAGCCCACTCACGCGACATGTCGCGCGCGACTGATCGCGCGCGGCAATATTTTTAATGTTTTTAAATGACTCAAAGCCCATTAACGCGGTTCTGTCGAGTGGTCATTTAAAAACATCAAAAGTATTGCCGCGCGCCACTGATCGCGAGTCATAGCGCGCGGCAATACTTTAGATGTTTTTAAATGACTCTTAGAGGGAAAGCCCACATACGCGACATGTCGCGCGCGGCAATACTTTTGATGTTTTTAAATGACCACGCGACAGAACCGCGTTAATGGGCTTTGAGTCATTTAAAAACATCAAAAGTATTGCCGCGCGCGATCAGTCGCACGCGACATGTCGCGTGAGTGGGCTTTCCCTCTTAAAGGGACTGATCGCGAGGCATCGCGCGCGGCAATACTTTAGACGTTTTTAAATGACTCAAAGCCCATTTACGCGGTTCTGTCGCGTGGTCGCACGCGGCTGAAAATTTGAAATGACAAGCCCGCGATTTTCCTGCCGCACGCGGCCAGCATTATCATGGATTCATATGGAGAGTTAAGAGTTGGAGTTTCCTGTTAACTTTTCAACAGTTCCAGTGAAAAAATATCCTACAGTTGTATTGATATAGATGAATTTATATCCGATATTCAAGATCGACCTCAAATATCGAACAGTTAATTGAAATAAAATAGCAAAAAAAATATTTGTTCGGGAATCTGCGCTAACAGTTCGTCAAATGACACTACTCTCATTCTGAAATATTTGAAGAACTTATCTTTGTGTTGACGTAAATCCTTATGTAATAAATTAAATGCACCTTTTACATAAGGGTCTAAAAATAATGGATGAACTCAGTACCTACATCGTTTCAATTTATTCCGCCAACGAACAGAATAAAAAAACACCGTTACTCCTTCTTCCACCTCTATTTTGATACTGAACGTCTGTGTCGCTGCTTGTCGTCTGTTAAAAATCGCACCTAAAAAATCGCATGCGGCAGGTCGCGCGCGATGTCGCGTGAGTGGGCTTTCCCTCTTAGCTGCGTGCGACCACGCGACATAATCGCGTTAATGGGCTTTGAGTCATTTAAAAACATCAAAAGTATTGCCGCGCGCGATGCCTCGCGATCAGTCGCGCGCGATATGTCGCGTGAGTGGGCTTTCCCTCTAATTTAGTGTATTATTGGCCTGGCATTTTCTTTTGCTTTACTAACCTACATACAAGACATGGGAATCAGTAGTGGATCAAGTACTCATGAATAAGGAATCGTCATAGACAGGAGCAAAAAGATGCTTTAGACACCATGAATGATAGCAACATCCTTTATGGACCTGGGCATCGATGATTCAGTGTAAGATAAGCCGATAAAACGCGCTTATGAACGTTTTATTCCAAATTTTTTAGTGTTCAAAACTTTAAAGCGTTTTTCCCCACAACTCATGTTTCCAAAGTCGATGCTCCTCATAACTTCAAAACTACTGCACCTATCCTTTTGAAATTTTGAACACTATTTCTATACATAATTTACGAGGTAACGCTGGAGAGTTTTTTCAAATTTGTTAATACTTTTTTATTTTATAATAACAAATCTCCCCTTCATTAAAATGTGAAAATGTAATACATTTTTATTAGTTTTTATTAATTTAATTTTTTTATTATTTTTTTTATTTATTTACTTTTATTAATTTGTATTTCGTTTTAATTATATTTATTTTTAAATATTTTTTTATTTATATTTATTTTATATTTTTACCCTCCTTAAAATGGGGGAGATGAAGAGCTCCCCCTCTTTAAAATGTGAAAATATAATAATTTTAATTGATTTTATTAATTTTTATAGATTTTTAATAATTTTTATAAAGTTTTATTTATATTTATTTATTATTTATTTTTACAACACTCCTCATTCCTCCTCTCATTAAAATGTGAAAATATAATAATTTTTATTAATCTCTATTAATTTTTATTTATTTATATTTATTTAGTTTTATTTACCTATTTTTATTTATTTTTATTTACTTTTATTAATTTGTATTTGATTTTATTTATATTTAATTTTTTAAATTTGTATTTGATTTTATTTATATTTATTTTTAAATATTTTTTTATTTATTTATTTTTACGACACTCCCCATTCCTCCTCCTTAAAATGTGAAAATCCGTAACCTTGAAATACGTCATTATTCACTTATTATGAGTAGCTATAATTCCCAAGTACCCCTTTAAAAAACCGAAAGTCTCTTACAAACTTTCACCTCCCGTTTCCCCCCTTAATATTTAAAAACCCTGAAACATGTCTATTTATTTAAGATGAGTAGATAAAATTTCAATTTTTAAGTTCCTACCTTTAAAAAAATCGATACTCCATACAAACTTTTACTACCCCCATTTTCTCCCTAAAAATATGAAAATCCCAAACATCGAAACACGTCATTATTTATTTGTAATGAGTATCTATAATTCAAATTTTCATTTTTCACTACCACTATGCAAAAAATCATGTCTGATCCCTTGCTTTGTTAAAAACAAAAGCAAATCTATTCTACGGGAACAGTACATTTTTCCGGAATAAAAAGTAGCTTATGTGCTATTGCAGACTAAAATCTATCTCTGTGCCTAATTTTATCCAGATCCGTTCAGCCATTCTGGGGTGATTGAGCAACAAACATCCATCCAAACTTTCGAAATTATATAGCAGTAAGATAAACTATATACTAACTTTTTGACTCATTCTATATAAAATGTGATTGTCCCTAATTGTGATAGTGAAACAGAGTGTATAATTTTTTGTAGAAACGACGAGGCCTTCTATGAATGTATGATTTATGTATTGATGACTTGTGACAGAAAATAATAATGTTCATTTATTTCAATTGATGCACAAAAAACGAACGTGAACTTAAAACAAGAGGTTAATCATTTATTTTCAAATTGAAAGTGACATAAAATATGACATGACAAATCAAAATGACAATGACAAATTTTAAGAACAACATATCACTGTTACTAATATAGAAAGTTTAAACACACCGGGTGGTCCATTTAAACATAATATTAATTTGAATATTCCAGTGCTAAAGTTAAAAAATAAAATTATATTTTCGGTAATTTATGAATTACCTTGTAACTAACAATAATATACGTCATATGTTATACTAAAAATATTGTAAATAATATCAGTAAAGCATTTAAAAAAATATCTATAATCCGAATATTTTGTTAAAAATATTGAGGCCTTTTTAAGAAATTGCTGATTATAATAAAACATTAAAAAATAAAATATCATTATCCATAAGAAAAGTGCGTTGTCCTTATCCAGTTTGACGAAATAATTTAAGATTTTTTGAAAATAAATTGTATACAAAATAATTATAAAATATTTTTAAAAATAAATTAAATATTTAAATATATTCAAGATTTATTTTAAAAACAAAAAATTCAATTCCAACTAAATGAAAGTATTTAATTTTTTTTTATGATGTTTTTATTCAGTTTCACATTCTGATTAAAACATATCAGAAATAATTTTTGTGTGATAAAAAACAAAGTTATATATAAAAATAATCAAAACAGTTTAATTACATCTAAATAACATATTTGTGGATCTTTTTTCGAAACATAACATATTTTTTTAGGAAGGACATCTTTATTTAAAAGGTTTCATTATTCAAAGCCCAGATAAAAAACCGTTGGTTGTATAGTAAAAAAAAATTGAAGGAGTTTAAACCCAGAGGAAACATTCGTTAACCAAAAATAAAATAAAAGATTAAAGAAGAAGAACTTTATTTAATAAATATTTTTTTTTAATAAAGTTCTTCTAAATGATTATATATCATAAAATCAGTTTTTATCGTTTAACACGAAACATTTTAATACTTTTCTCACATCCAAGAAAATATTATTTACTTACCATCTTTTTTAAACGTTATTCCCATAATAGTACCAGGTGTATCAGTTTCTAATTCGGCATAAGCCATGGCAAGTGCTTTTTGTTTCTCATTTAAATGCTTCGGCACGGCTACTTTGAATGTTACATAATGATCGCCATGTCCGTAACCGTTGACCCTTTTCATCCCTTTACCGCTCAACCGAATTTTCGTATGAGAAGATGTGCCCGGCAAAACCTAAAAAAATGTCACTACTGAGATTTTTTCTTAAATTTTCATGAATGTTTTGCGATGTAACTAGTTTTTAATACCATTTTAGGAATGCATTTTTTTCTTGTCATTTTTACAATTAATCTCTAAAAGTAACACTCAGAAATATTTAAAAAATCACCAACTTAAATAATGTGATGATTGAAGGACAATACAAATCAATGCAAAAAATAAAAAAGAAAATTTAAAGAAATTACAAAACTAAATCTAGAGAAAAATATAAAACAGGATAAAGAGGAAAATAAAATAAGATTAAGAAGAAAATACGTGATATTATTATGAAAAAATACAAATTAAATAAAAAAGGAACAGACAAAAATGAAAGAAAAGATAAAATTTTGAAAGCGGGATGAAATTTTAAATTTTAGAAATAGCGAGAATATGGAAATTGACATAATTTGCTAATAAGATAAACGTGATAGAATGTAGCGAGTGAAAGGGAGGAATTTTATAAAGTTAAATTGTTTAGATATAAAGAGTGAGCTAAAATATTATTTTGTGAAAGTTTGAAAGGTGTATGTGGAACGCATCACTGTAGTGCAGAAACATTCTCCGACGTCATAAAATGGTCCATCGACACAGACTACTTCATGTCAAATTTGGGGGAAGTTGTTATAATTCCATCATTGGACTGTTAGTGCCATATCTTCGTTCTGTATCTTTGATGTCAGTTAGTTATTTGGAACGGTATTTGGCCATTTGACGTCAATAGTGAATTGTGATTAGATTATTGATTGTCAGATTGGACTTTTTAGAAATGTCAAGGTGATAAAATGGATAAATAATATAAAAACATTATTAAAAATAAGTTAGAAAGTTGTATAGAAGTTAAATAAAGTTAAAATCAGTACAAAAAGGTAAAAGTTTTATATGAATTAGAAAGAAGGAAAGAGATTCAAGCAGATAGGAGTAAGATTAATAAGAGTTGGAGGAAGGAGTTAGAAGACAAGGCAGACAGCAGCAGGTAGGAGAGCAAGAAATATAGTAAAGGAGTTGGAACAGAAGACAGGAAGTGTAGAAAAAGGAAGAGGAAGGGAAGGATTTTTATTTTTTTATGGAATTATTGTAGGAAGCCATTGAAGCCACAACCCTAAGAGATCGGAGAAGATTGTAATAGATCTACCTAGTACAGGATGAAACCATTAAAATATATATTGAAAAAAAAAAAAAAAAAAAAAAACGAAATTGAAGCATTTTTTAATATAAATTGGCATCCTCAAGAGATAGTTTAATCACTTCAACTAATGACTTACAAAGACAATTAGGAATTTAAACTGGCAATTAACGGTTCAAAATGACAATTGACAGATCCAAATAAAAATTACGATACTAAAAATCAAATCAACCTTAGTTTATTCACGTCGATTGATGGCTTACAATGACAGTTGAGAAGTTAAACTGACCATTATTGACAGTTCAAAATGACAACTGACATTTTAGAAAGATATTGAAAGTTTAAAATGAAAATTGACATTTTAGAAACCAAATCATCAAAACCTAGTTTAATCACGTAGATTGATGGCTTACAACGACAGTTAAGGACTTAAACTGACAAATAACAGTTCAAAATGACAAATGACAGTTTATATTAAAAATTACGATTCTTAAAATCGAATCAACTTTAGTTTAATCACGTCGATTGATGGCTTACAATGACAGTTGACAAGTTAAACTGATAGTTATTATTGATAGTTCAAAATGGCAACTGACACTTTAGAAAGACATTGACAGTTTAAAATGAAAATTGACATTTTAGTAACCAAATCATCAAAACCTAGTTCAATCACGTAAATTGATGGCTTACAACGACAGTTAAGGACTTAAACTGACAAATAACAGTTCAAAATGACAAATGACAGTTTAAAATAAAAATTACAATTCTAAAAATCAAATCAACCTTAGTTTAATCACGTCGACTGAAGGCTTACAATGACAGTTGGGAAGTTAAACTGACAGTTATTATTGCTAGTTCAAAATTGCAACTGACATTTTAAAAAGACATTAACAGTTTAAAATTAAAATTGACATTTTAGTAACCAAATCATCAAAACCTAGTTTAATCAAGTAGACTGATGGCTTACAACGACAGTTGAGGACTTAAACTGATAAATCACAGTTCACAATGACAAATGACAGTTTAAAATAAAAATTACGATTCTAAAAATCAAATCAACCTAAGTTTAATCACGTCGATTGTTGGCTTACAATGACAGGTGAGAAGTTAAACTGACAGTTATTATTGAATGTTCGAAATGATAATTTATAGTTCAAAATGACAATTGACAGGCTAGTTTAATCACGTCGATTGATGACTTACAAGAAACAGTTAATAACTTAAACTGACAATTGACAGATCAAAATAAAAATTACGATTCTAAAAATCAAATCAACCTTAGTTTAATTACGTCGACTCAATAACAGTTGGAAAGTTAAACTGACAGTTACTATTGATAGTTCAAAATGACAGCTGATAGTTTAGAAAAACGTTGACAGTTTAAAATGAAAATTTACATTTTAGCAAATCAAATCATCAAAACCTAGTTTAATCACGTAGATTGATGGCTTACAAAGATAGTTAAGAACTTAAACTGACAATTGACAGTTCAAAATGACAATTGAGAGACCAAAATAAAAATTACACGATTCTAAAAATTAAATTAACCCTAGATAAAACCCCGTCGACTGATGACTTATAATGACAGTTGAAGACTTAAAACTGACAGTTCAAAATAAAAATTGCCTCCAAACTTTTATTTTTTTATATAATATATAATAATTGAATATCACCAAATATAGATTTATAATTACTTAAATATATTTTTTAATAGTTTAATCAACGTACCTGGATGGTGTGGTCTTCATAGAGACCCTGAATTCGAATGGTTCCCCCTAAAAGTGCTTGTGCTACCGAGATATCAGCCTCCGTATGCACATCTGGACCGTCCCTTTTGAAATAATCTGATTTTTCTACACGGAAAGTTACGAAAAGTTCCTTATTACCTACAGACATTCTCACCGTTTGGCCATCTTCGATTCCTAAAAAGAAAAACGTCCAACTGTTAGAGGCACTTCAGTCATTAGCAGACTTCTCCAGTGGATAAATTGGATAGAGGATACTATATATAGTAATGTGATAAATGAGTTTACTAATATAAATGACAAGGGAGGGACATTAATAGATTTAGTTTTGTTTAATATAGAACTTAATGTTACAATATTTGATGAACCAAAAATAAGGAATCATCGCAATATAACAGTATCACTATAAAATATTCAACTAAATAAGCAGAATGATGAATACTGTTTAGAGACCAGGGGAAGAAATATAGACTTTAAACAGATAGGAATAAAATTAAAGGAAATTAGTTGTAACTATAGTGAAAGGGATATAGATAAGAGATATAGTCAGTTTGTCATGAAAATATTGTTAGTTTTAAATGAAGTTGCTCCTAAATTGCTTTTAATTTGTAGTAACTTTTATGTAATATTAGTTGTATTAGTATTTTTAAAATTATGTACTGTAAATGAATTAGTTTTTGACTAAATAAAGAGACATATATACAATGACCTTAGTGCAAATGTTTAATCTTTTAATTATCTGAACAAGAATTGATAAAAAGTAACAACCTTTTGTTTGGTAGTAGATATTATTCCTAATTTATAAAGTAATAATTCTAGGGGACTATAAAAACTATGTAAATCTACAATTTTTCAAAATAGGACAGATTTGGTTTTAGAGCATTAGTTGTAAAAATTGACGTATTTTATAAAGATGTAATTATTACTATTTTCTCAAAACTCAGTAATTTGCACTTTGATCAACGTTCCAATCGGAGAAGCGAATGGTTTGGAGAATTTCTTATTTTAGGTTTTCATTTATTTCACTACTAGATTGTTTATACAGGGAGGTCATAACTTATGCTTCCACCTTTTAAATCCTTAAGAGATTGAGATAAATTAATGAATTAAAATTGAGATATGACAATAAGAATTTATTTTCAAAAAGTGGGACCAGAGGGTATGGGAACATATTATGTAAAATTCCATCATAAATAAAAGGTAAAATAGATGATTTTTCTGTTCGACATTAATCTATACCGAGTTCTCTACATAATGCCGTTTTTCCCGTTTAAATCCGACCAACAATAAAGATATAAGTTATAGGCCCTTTTGACCTGTCACTGTGCATGATTTTTCTGATCGACGTTAATCTATATCGAGTTATCTACATAATGCCGTTTTTCCCATTTGAATCGGACCAGTAATAACCAAGAAACATACTTAAGTCTTTTTGGCAATCGCATGATTTTTCCGTACGGCGTTAAAAGAAAATTAAATTTGCCCCACTCCCCCTCACTCTTGCCCATTGAATATGTACCTCTCACTCTTACACATTGAATTCCCTATGTGGGCCACTAGCGGCTTTGTATATAATAATAAATATACAATCATATTCTCGACAACTCAACCACGGTTGCTAACGAAATTAATTTGCTAGGACTGCCACATAATGAAAGGTTACCCAAATAATGACAGCTGTTTGACGAAGTGTGAAGAAGATATGTAGTAGGTACATATAAGTCACTATAGAGGTGGGAAACAATTTTTAAAATTTCTACTAGCAAGCGTAATATTAAGTTTTATTGAGCTCATATTAACCATTTACAAACAAACCAGTGAAAACGTGTCCCGCCAGCGGGACAAGCTAGAAGGTACATTATTAAAAAGGTTGACAAAATGAAGATAATTATTTATTGTAGAGCGACCCCCTAAGGCAGCCATACTCAACCTTTTTTTTCTTCGGGCAACATACATATTATGTTTGCTATGTTACACGGGCCGCAATCCACAATATCTTTGGATGATGAACCTTTATTTAGGCCATCCATTTAAAATTAGTTAGTGGGAAGCTCTAATAAAAAAAAACAAAATATTAATATAAACTTAAGGGATGTATCATCCCTAATAAAAATGTCTAAACTGCTTTTTCAATGGTTTATTTCACGATCAAGTATTCTCAATTACAATGTTGCTGTGGTATTGCCACTGTCTATTAGCGTACTACCCACTGCGCTGGTCTGTCTTATCCCGCTCGTCCATCCTAACACGCATGTGTATGGACTTCAAGAATGTATGGTGGGGAGTATAGAGAAATACCGCTAACATAAATATATCCCGTCGAGTTACTGCAAAAATAAGATAACTAACATTTTTAGAGTTTCGAAAAAACGCTATTTACAAATATAAACTAAGAATCTATCGATTTAGAACAAAAGAAAAAGAGGAAAAACGTCACTTAACTTATTTTAGTTGTCTACAAAAGTGGGAGTCTCATCGTTCGACAGACTGCAATTCGGTCAACATGTATTGTCATCCATTGATTTTTGAAGGTTAGCTGTATCGGGGAAAGAAAGGGTGACGTAATCACCTTGTCGATTTCGGACCAATTGAAAGAGGTCAGATACGGCTCTAGGCAAAACAAATGGCTTAGGCAAAATGTTACAAAAAATAATTTCACAAAAATAAGTGATCTTAACACGGAAATATCGAAAGTGGAGATATTTTATTTTTGCAGTAACCCCATGATCCAAACGTTTATTTAAAAATTAGCACGATATTTAGCACACCGACCGATGAATGTTTTCGCTCGTTCCGCTCAAGATTTTAAAAACAAACTAATAGTTTTAAAAAACACCTTAATAATAGTGTTTCGGGACGCAAAGAAAAGCTTGGAGGGCCTCAGGTCGAGTATGGCTGTCCTAAGGGGCCGCTAACCATTATACAGCGACACTAACAGAATGAAAACGTAAGTTTAAGAAAACGGGCTAAATATAAAATAATAATCACTTATAGGGGTCGTTGACAAAATAAAAACATATATCTGAATGAAGATATAGTAAATATTTAATTAAACAGTCTGAAAAATAATATAAAAATTGATTACCCTTTGTGCAACGACCTCTACGGGGTCGCTGACAAAATAAAAACATATATCTGAATGAACATATAGTAAATATTTAATAAAACAGTCTGAAAAATAATAAAAAAATTGATTACCCATTGTGCAGTGACCCCTACGAGGTCGCTGACCGAATAAAAACTAATTGATTTGAAATTTAAATAAAAATTGACATTTAAAAAGGAGTGGCAAAAGGGGGAAATGACTCCTAATTTTTTTTGTCAATTTTATTACTATTAACATGGCGCAATAAAATTCCAACATTTTTATTCCTATATAATAAAAATGGATAATTCAAAAAAGGGGGGAAGGGGAGTTAAAATAAAGATATGGTAAAATTTAAATATATAAAAATCAAGCATCTTTTTGCACTTCTTTTTTCAAATAAAATTTTTATATTTTCGACAGAAAAATATTTTAGAAGAGGACATTTAAACTTTTTACTGAATTTTGACCAAAATTACTTTTTATAATAAAAAAATTAATTTAAAAATATAAAAACCTAATTTAGTCGTATTTTGGGGGGTATCACCAAATATCATCTTTTTCTTAGAATAATTCACATAATAACATGCCACCACTATTTTTCAAAATTCGAATATTTATGATTTATTTAAATAATTGATAAGGGGGGAAATGGGGAATACAAAACCTGGGGGATGGAAAGTCTTCGAGTTCATCTTCATTAACCATATTTTATTTTTATTTTTATATAAAACAATGTATAAAAGGGGGGTAAGGGGAGTAAAGGGGGAAACGAATCGTAGATTTTTATATTAATCTTTAAAATATCTATCAAACTTAAAACATTTTTTTATATTTTTTTTGGATTTTTATTAAAATTTATATTTTTTAATTATTGGAGGGAGGGGGGTAACGTCATATACCTTAAAATTTAAGGAATTCCTTACTGTGTGAATTTTGTTACAATCAAAAAGATCAACTTTACTCTTGGAGGATTTTGAGAAAAGGGGGATCTAGTGAACACTCTCAGAACTCTTAGATTTTGGTCCCAAATACCTTACCAAAAGGATTTTATCTGAAATTAATTTTTAGGTTATTCTCGTTTTCCGAAAAAGTTGGGAACAGAGAAAATTTCAATACAAAAGCGTTCGACCTTTGGTTCCATAAAGTACCCGCACAATAATACTTCTTCAAAACAAATTTATACTCCCCAAGGGTGTCAATTTTTTTACTGTTATCTTTAAATCAATTTTAAACTGGTATCTCATAACATTTTAATATAATTGGAGAAGCATAACACATGAGTCATGGAAGAATTAAGAAGAGAGATAAACATAAAGAACCTGATAATTATACATACCAGCTGGTACTGGAATTGTAACCTTTCTCCTTTGTACTGTAGATCCTTTACCCTGACACTCAGTACATTTGTGTTTAATGTACATTCTAGATCCTTGACAGTACCTAAAATATTTTTTTATGAAACAAACATTTCAAAAAGTAAGCGAATTCTCTCAAATATGGTCATCATTAAGGAGACAATAAAACTTATGAGATACTGGGAAATATCCTAAAAGCTACAGAATCTGTAAGACATAGTAATGTAATTGTTTCCAGATTTTGGCTTACAGATCTTATAGTCTCAGAATCGACCCATTAATTATTCTGTATACATAACAAATGTTAACTGTTTATAAATATTTGTATGTAGTGGTGCAAGACTTAGTCAAATGACCCCCAATTAAGAGTATTTGGGAGTTTATCGATAAACCTTCCTTGTTGGGTCTATTAAGTTTGAACTACTGCTTTCTCAGAGTGGAAGGAATGTAAGTACTTAGATATTTTGTAATTCATGATAGCGTGGTGAAATGCAGAAAAAAATGGTCTTTATTGGACACTCTTGTCCAAATACAATCAGTAATTATAAGAAGTTTCCAAACAACATTCAATCTACTCTACTAAAAAGTTGACTAGGATGACATAGTGCAGTTTACATATATTAGGAGTGGTATTTACACCTAAATTATGCTAGAATAAAAACATATAATTGTATGTCTAGGAACAGATATTTGATTCTATTTAACCTTTGGGGTTGATAAACACCCTATTTGAACCTGCAAATCGACTTCTTACAGAGTCGGAAGGGTTAATGTAAACTGGGGTTATTGTATTTAAAATTTTCTCCCAAACTTTTAAATTGGCCCCAATTCCTAACCTTTAACATGTACCGACAAGTAAACTGTTAAGCTTGAACAGTTACTTCATGTTCACTGTAGGGTATACTTGGAATTCTGCAAATATTTTGAAATTCGTTTTAACATAAGTGGGCAAAATATTAATGTAATTTTTTTTAACAAGGTATTTGTTTAATAATAGTTTTAGTTAAAAAAAAAAAAATGTAACGTGTTCTTCAATTAATAAAGATTTTATTGTATGTTTGCCTTTACTCCAAGATATGTTTAGGATAAAAGTAAATAGGTATGTTTTTAGATGCCTAGAAACCTAATTAATGCTGTCAACGATGTTACTAATTGAAATAAAACTTTTAAGTAAATTACTCAGAGGCATCCCTTAAGAATTTAGTTCTAACTCTCCCAAAAAAAAACTACTATTATCAAAATCATGATTGATACAACTATTTCGAATAAGTAGTGATTCCAAGATTAAGGCAGCTAAAATATAAGGAAGTGTTAACATCATATGTTTTAAACGGATTAAAACAAGCACAACTATTGGTCCAGAACTTCACAGAAAAAAACAGTTAAACAAAAAAAAAACAAATGGATCTAATGAATTTAGATAGGCAGGAGACTTTAGAAAAGTAAAAAAAGATGTCATGAAAAAACTAAAAATTACAGAGATAACAAAGGTGAAAGTTTAAAGATTTTTCAAGAGATTAAGACCATTCATCTTTTAAAAATAGCGATAGAGAACGTCTGGGAAGAATCCTTCAGCAATGACGGAAAAGAAGTAGATCTCACCAAGACCCCCATACAATAGATCTGAAAAGATGAAGGTGGCTCACAGTCCCAATTGAATTGAATTTAATCTAATACCCTCATATCTAAACTAAGAAATGATGATTTTGTATTCGTACAATATAAAGGAGGCTAGAGAAATATGGCTCTACATAAATATGTATGTAGGGATAGAACTAAAGACTATTGATGACAATAAAATTTTTTTGCCATGAATAATATAAGGTAATTTAACTAAAGGTAGCAGTAAGCAAAAATCTAAGATTTTGTTTGACTATATGTATTAGTATTTTTAAATTATTTATGCACACAAATCCTCACAAACCTATATGGTAAAATTTAATAGTTAGCTATCCAACTGGTAAATTGAAACTGTTAGTTCAAGGGGGGCACCTATACTAGCCACCCGTAATACTAGGTATGAACCATAAAGCATATTGAAGGTCACAGTACAGGACCTACTAAGTTTTTATTTTGCATTTTAGTTATGTACAGTCAATATGGGCAGAACAACATTTGCTATCTACCCAAAATAATTTAAACTATTTAATTTGGACAATAATATATTGATGTTTAGGCTCTAAGTAATAATCCCTGTGTATAAAATGGAAAAATTTATGAAAAACATTTTCATAATTTTTCTTAAAATATTGTAAAAAAATATACGAGGTACTGCACTGTGGCCCTCGATATGTGAACATCTACACAGTAAGTTAACCAACTGGCGAATTGGCGCTGTTCATTAACTCCTTGGTCATCACCTCTATATTGTTCAAAATAAATAACTAAGAAAATGCTTAGATATACACATCTAAGCTAAAATGAAGCTAAATAAAAAAAAATTGTAATATACTTTGTAAAATATGAAAAATAAAAGGGTTTAAATATGAATTTTGTATGGTTTTATTTACCATTGTATCGAATCATGGTTTATTTTAATAAATTATCAATTCGACTATACAATCACTACTACTACTAGAGGAAAAGGGCCAAATACAGTAAGTATAGAATTTAAAGTAAAACAAAATTGAGGTAATATTAAAATATAAAATTTCATATTTAAACAAAAATCAAAGGGCTATGGGGGTGGAAGTATTTAAAAGGTTTCTAGCCTCTAATACCCTAGAAAATTTAAAATAATAATGTGGTATATAATTATTTCAATTATTATATTTGCAAATGCCTATATAAAACTACAACAAATCTAAGTAGTTATTTTTTTCTGATTTTCTGCATTTATTAGGGCATCTCTTAGGTCGATATGTTTGTTAAAATAACTGTTACAATATGTAATTTAATCTGTAAACCAGAGTTTGGAAAAAACATAAGAATTAAAAAAAAATATAAGTAGATTTCTACTTCATAATATGTCAAAAATATAAGCAAAACAAAAATAGTATTGTATTATATTCAATTACATTCTAAAACCAAACAAAAAAGTCAAAATAAATAGATGCCTTTTTAATTTTTTGATAAAATTTATTTTTATATAGGTACATTAATTTTTGTACCCTTTCTGCTGAGAACTGATTAGTCAAATTGTGAATTCTAAAAACCTAAATTGTAGAATTTTCACTTTTAAGTTTTTTTTTTTAAATGAAAAAACTGTACCTGCCAACTTAGGATGCCACCTGACAATTTCTGAAAATTTAATAGCTGACAATTAGTCCCTAACTTCACCAGGGTATGATAAATATAAATTATACCTGCAAGTTGATCTCATTACAAATGGTCCGGTAGAAATGGTTTCCATCCCAGTGCCATTACAAAACTGACATTTGGAAGCTTGCGTGCCCGGTTCACATCTAGTACCTCTACATTTAGGGCAATTATCTACTACATTGATATTCACATCTTTATTGGTACCTCTAGCTGCTTGAGTGAAATTTACTTTAAGTACAATCTACAAGAGAAATTGTTAAACTGTCTCATTAACTGAAAAACTTCACATACAACGTCAATTACCTCTTGGGCTTCTCCAAATCCATAAGTAGATTCTGCAAAATCATCAAATGGATTACCACCACTGCCACTTTTGCCAAAAGCATCTCCAAAAATTTTTCTAAACAGTTCCTCGGGGTCTATGCTTGACTGATACTGCCACTGTTGACTAAAACCTTGTGGCCCATGTGCCCTACCACCTCCACCACCCATGCCAGCGCCCATTTGATCTGCAGTAGAGCCCCATGTATCATATTGTTTACGTTTAGAATCATCACCTAGTATCTAAAATATTTAATAGTTTAAATATTTAAATAATGTACAGTTTATTTCATGAAATACCTCATATGCTTCTGAAACTTCCTGAAATTTTTTAGAAGCTTCTGGATCGTTTTTGTTCACATCTGGATGATATTTTTTAGCTAATTTGTAATAAGCCTTTTTTATATCGGAATTTGATGAATTTCTACCTACACCTAAGACATCGTAATAATCTTTTCTTGCACTAACAGCTGAAGTTAAATGAAATGATCTCTTTGATAGAAGAGAATCTAAAATAAAATAAGGTTATGCACATATTTTTTGTATAAAAAAAATGTGAATATTACTGAATATCATTACTTGAGAAATATAGAATGTCTTCTTATTAACATTTTAAGTTTATTAAACTTGTAGTGATTAATAAAATACAATTTGTTGTTAAATAAATCCACTTACTTGGGACTATATTATGGTTGCCTCTACTTCTTACAATTAAAGATGTTTTACACTGAAAACAATGATGAAGAAACCTTCTTGAAATTTTGCTATTTATTTGTGAATTTGTGTAAATTATTATATGTTTTGTATTCAAAATTCCAAATAGATTTCTCGCACTAGCCATTTTTTAAATGTCAAAGAACATGAGGAATGTCATTATCATTATAATGTCAATGTCAGATATGTCATTTAAATACTAGCATTGCTGCCAATCATCTAAAACTCACTTTTGCCAATACATCCATAAATTATAAAGTTTTGTCGTAAGAAAATTATCACAGTTTTGTTTTGATAAAAGGAGTAGTGAGGATTTACTATTGATATTAATGATATCTCAAAGAATGAAATAAATTTGAACTATTAGGCATTTATTAGGCTATCAAACGCTCCGTTCGAGTAGATTACTAAATTATTTGTAGTTCAGCCAATCGGTTTTAGATGTCGACACACGTCAATTACAGAAAACTCATATATTTTTTTAACTACCTAGGTGGTGTCTAGGTGGCAGTCTAATGAACTTCTCTGTATATAAACGGCAAAAAAGCATAAATTGACTAGGATTATGGGATTTACTAAAAATCTAATTGGTTTTGGGAGGGAAGTAACCGAATATAGCGATTCCATACGATATACCTATGTTTTTATAGGAAGATATTTTAAAGTTGGCATCTCGTGGTGCCATCTATCAGTGTACATAGTAAGTAATAAATGCTGTTTCTTTATTTTTCTATATGCAGGATTTTTAAAATTACATGCAACAACACTACAAAAATGTTTCATATTTTTGTGTCAAAGAATTCAAACTGCTGATAGATTTTACTGATTTTATTATTGTAAAATTAAACAGGATGATTAATAAAGAAATCGTCATAATTAATATATATCGATTATTTACCATAGACAAAGTTTGTCTGGACTTGTTTTTTATTTAAAGATGTACTTATTAAATATATAAAAATATGTAAGTAAGGTAATAGAGAAATATTGCAAGTTTACTTAAGGTCAATCACTATTAGTGCCACAAAGCATGTATCTTCTAGAGACCCCACGCCAATGTTAAACTTTTAAACCAAATTAGCGCCACCTTGTGTTTGGAGCTGGAACTAAAATGACAATTGACAGATGGCGGTAAATTCAAATTTTAATTTTTAGGAGTAGGTAGTAGTTTTAAATTAAATTTTAAATGATTTCCACATAAATTATTTTATAAAATAAAGTATGGAACTAGTAAGTTCGAAACTTTTATTTTACAAAATAATTTAGGTCGATTATACCAAATTTGAAGAATTAATTTGTTATAAGGGGTCTAATGTGGAGAGTTGGTTCTGCATATTTTTATTAAATAAATATAAGATATATCAATAAATAATAAAATAGAACATTCTTAAAATATGTTTATTAATAACTTAAATAAATATTATTAGATGAAAATAAATACAAATAATAATACATATTTAACAAATACTTACTTGGAGCAAATAGATATAATCTCAAATCTTTAAAATACCTATCAATAATTTAAATGTGAAGTAGAGACTAGGATATTACATTTTATTAACACTAAAGTTATATATTTTATAAATGTCTTTTTAACTGAGGACAAATGTAATATAGGTATTGTATTAAAAGGTGAATCCTTTTAACTATTCATTCAATGATAAATAGGTATTTTCCTTCCAAATACAGATGGTGGTATTACTCTCTTATGTGAAAAATGATTTCGGAATCCAGTCCAGTGATAAATTGATTATCAATTAGTTGTTGTCCCCGTTTGTCTTTTTATGATGCAGATGCATGGTGAATATATGGTGAATCAATGAAGTTTTTCTCGAAGTTTTCAACGTAGCACCAAAATTATTGCAAAACACAGTAGGAAATAAAAAAGCGAAACATCACAATTTTGCAAATAACTAAGACGAAACTATAAACAGAAACCAAAAGCCAAAGCAACAAAAAATCACTAAAATCAGACGGAAAAATGAAACTAACCAAGAACATAAATAAATACACGTCACATCTTTGGAGTCTTTGGTTAGTTTTTTTCTCCCATAAGGCTTAAAAATGGAGTAAGAAATCATAATTTCACCAGTAGCCCCATCTAGAGTTTGGAGCAAATAGCATAAAAAATGTCAGTTGTCGGTTTTGACCTTGGTCATTCACGTGGAACCTCTATGTGCTTTGTGATTAGTGCCGCTCTTATTTTGACATTTGAGCATGCGCAGATCAATTACATTCTAGGGGGTCGATTCTCGACTTTTAGGGAATTTTTGACATTTTTATGTACATCGAAAATTTATGACATTTTCCTTCATATAGGAAAGTGTCACAAATTCCTATAGGAAAAGGTTCCTACAAGTCGAAAATCGACCCCTAGAACTGACTTTAATAAAGATTGTGCCTGTCCTTAATTGGGACCGCAGTTAGTGGCGACTTTATAGTTTTCGGGTGCGCTCGCCGACATTTGTATCCGATCGAAGTTTTTTAATATTAAATATTTATATAATCGTCATCTAAACCTTCTAAAATTACAATTTCTAATGCCACTTCAATATTATGTACTATTTATAGACAACAAAAAAGATGAACTATAATTTAGTTTTTAAAATGAGGTTAGAAATAAGTATAAGGACAAGGCTTCTAATGTCAAAATTTCAGGTTTGCAATAAGTCTGAATTTATTTGACTCTAATTACGATGTCAGTATTAGTGGCTGGCGTTATAGAAATTTGCAATACTTATCTCGATCTCTATTGATTGTCATTGTGGTTTTTATAATTTTGACATATAAAGAATATTTAAAGTTCTATCACCATTACTTTTCTTACTTTTAATTAAAATTTAATAAATGGTTAACTTTAATTAAGTTTACGGCAACTGGTCACAAATATACAAAATTAATTTTACATAAAATCAATTCTACGTCATTAAAACGTCAGACTACCTTCTTGTAAGACGTACTTTTGACGTCGTAATATAACGTCATCCGTATGTGACTTAGAAGGTCATAATAACGTCATTGGGACGTCATTTTGGAAGTTATCCTGACGTCAGTGATGATCAAATAATGACGTACAAATATCGTCAGCTGATTTTATGGGCAAGTGCTCATGATCAACTTTATGTAACTAGTTATATACAGTTGAACATTAATATGGTTAAGGAAAATTCATTATATCGTACCTATAAAACAAAAAGAAAAAGCCTAAATGGTTGGGAGTTACTCAAGGAATTCGAGCATGACCCAACTGATCGAAAATAGCTCGCATGACAATAGGCATCTAATCGCCTGTCAAAGCGATAAAAGATGGCGGATGTAGGGCACACATTTGCTAATAATAATCACAGTGTAACTATATATTATTATCTAACTAGTTTAACTTTGAAAATGACCATTTTCTTATTTTTTGATAGTGGATTTAGTCAAAAATATTTATTGTTACTTCTTTTATTTAAAGACATTGGAATTAGAGTCTGGAAGTATAAGGCTAAAAAAGATTTAGCACAAAATAAGAACGTTTCTAAATTTATACAGTGCTTCTCAGTTCATTTTTGTAGATAAGATGAAAATTGAAATATCATTAAGAGTGTTAATGAGCGATAGATTCTTAAAATTGCTAATTATTGCACCATTTAATTATGCAATTAAATTGCATAGGTTTAATAAAGCACTTACATGCAAGAAACAATATCTATCCAAATCCTTATCCCAATGTAATTAATTTAATGATAAAATGTTATTTATTAAAGGATTTAACTGAGAGAGCTAAGGTATCTACAGGTTTGGGTACATGGGTTGCTTGGTAACGACACGATTCCATCAGCGAGTATAAGGGTTTGTAAGTATGACTGCAAACTGATAAGCTTCTCTAAGACCATTAAGAACACGTTCCAACACATTTTCAACTACTTGGTGTCAGTAATACCAATGGAAAATAAGAATTATATAGGTATAGGTAATGGTGAATTGTAATCAAATTTTAATTTTGTAGATTTTTCTCCTATTTGTATAAAATTATCGCCATTGCAAATTTTTGTCTTTTATCTAATTAAAAAATTATTATATCAAGGTAGATGGGGTAGAAAAATTAAATAAGTCTTCATATTTTGAGAACAAAATTATTCACATTTCTACACATATTAGATTTAAAGATTTTTGTGTAGTTTTGATTTCTAAAAGACATTTTGTAAGAGGAATAATTTTTTCTAAAAGCAATATTCTATTAGGTATATAATTTTTGCAATTACGGGCCTGTTGAAACCCGAGAGAACCTCAATTTTATTCCCCTCGGAGAAACGTTTTTTAAACTGTCAAATCTATTCAACTAATTTTAGTTCTGTGAAATTACAACGTATGGAAAATATAATAGTAAAATAAATAAATAAAAATAAATTAGACATCTCGAATAAACCATGTCTTAGGTATCTAGTAGTACCTACCAATCTTATTCAATATAAAATTTTATTAGAAACATTTTGTACATGCGTGCATACCTAATTTCATCTAAGCCAAAGCAAAAAGCGTTTATTAGGTTTTTTATCAAGATGCCTTTGAAATTTTTTTGCTTTTAAAAAATGGCTGCTTGTGTAGTGCGTGTGGTGTGTAATGACAGAAACATTTTTGTGAAATAACATCGTGATATATCTTCCGTTTGTGTTAGAAAAATGAAAAATCCACTTTCCAGGCATTTATTTGATATTTGAGGTTAGTTTTATTTTAAATATAGCTGTTAAAATTGAGTGATTTTCCGAATACCTATATAAAATAAATTGTCTTGTTTTGTTCGACAATGTATCTACCTATGTTATTTACAAACACGAATTTCAAAATATATTTAACAGATTAAATTGTTAAATAATACGAAAATTAATATAAAATTGCAGATTATACACGTAAAAGTTATAAATTTATTGTAAACATTTCAATCTTTTTTTTATAGAAGAGATACATCTATTTTGACGTAGTTATACACCGTTGCCAAGTATGTTGATATGTAAGAACATATCTGTATATTTAATTTTCTAATTCATAGTATAAATTCTTATCTATTTATATGTTTTCTTGATAATACTTTTCAATTTGATTGGTTAAAACAACGTAATCTACAGTGTGTTCCAAAAAGTTGTATACAAATGGAAAGAAGTTTATTTTACATTTTACAAAAAAATTATTCACGATAAAAAGGTTTACATCATATGAAAGTAAAAAATAAAAAACCTGACTAATAATAAAGAG